TCCTCGCTGGATTGCTTCAAGCTGGTGTTGCAGAGTTGCACAGTACCCATCATCCTAATCAGCCTTCTGGAATTAGTCAGTCAATATGAATTGTGTTGTCTTTTGTTGATGAATCGCAAGGCCTGCCACTGCTCTCCTTGTTCTTGTCAACTGCCGACACTCGTTCACCCACAAACTGTCTGCAGCATGCGGCTACCAGTTATCCAGTTGACATACCATCCCCATACACCTCCAAGAGCAAGTGATGAATTTCCGCAGTGGAGGTGTGCTGGGCCCACACAAAATGGAAGGTACTTTAAATTTTAATGTGGGATCAATTTTCAAAGCGCATCACCATTTCACAACTGCACTGCTCACCTGACATGAGAGGTACAAGTGATGCCCTGTGCATTTTTGCCAAGTGTGACACCCCTAATATCACTAATTGCATGTCTATGCTGCTCACCTTGTGATTCTTCCATAATAGACCTTGTAAACATTTTTTTTTATCAACCCTCGTACATAGTTGGCCCATGAATTGCTGAGCATGAGAGCATGAAATTTAGCATTGCCTAATTCATAAGAAGTGCCAATATACCCTTCAACTTGGAGCCCATATGAGACTTTAGAGGTATAAACTTTCAAACTTATTGTAAAACATCAAATAATCCTCTAAAAAAAAAGTCTTGTATTTTGTTCAACATATTAGTTATTTTGGATTCCTCTGTATCTTAGATTTGATAAATTACTCATGAAAGACTTCTACCAATTTGTTTTTGTGATGAAAGATCTAGAAATCACTTTTTCCTCTGGAAGACAATTCTAAAATAGCATATCTGAGTTCCCTTTTGTCCCTGGAGACTGACATTTCATGTTTAAAGTTAGGACATATACCTTCAATGCCATGAAAAAAAAAAGTTTTAATTGGATGAGCATACTTTCTGGACCAAGAGGAATTTCTTTCTTATAGTGGCCTGTGGCTACCACAAATTTGACAAGCATGATTCACAGAGCTTATGAGGTTGCAATACAGAGATAAGGAGAGATAAATGACCAACTACCTTTGATATTGAGATGAAACTTCTCCACTTCAGCCATGTTAAAGCACATGCTCTTCATCTTGCGATGCTTCTCACCAGACACCTTGTGAGCTGCATGTGTTGATGCAATCTTAGAGATAAGGTTTTCAGGCTAAAAAAAAAACAAGAAATTTGACCATGTCACAGAACTGATCAATTAGATTCTAGAACCTCCTATTGATGCTGCACATTCAACATTGGAAAAGGCTTACTTCAAAACTTTCCAGAATAGGTTTTTGCATCTCTTTTTCCTTGTCCTGGTCTTGGTCTTGGTCTTTCACTTTTTTCCCAAGTTCATGGGAATGGGAATGGCTAATTTTCTCAGGCTTTGCATCATTCAAGATTGCAAAGAGAACAGCTAGGAAGTCCTTGTCATATATATGCCTTTCTGCCCAGATCTTGAAGATCCTAGCAATGTTGTTCCGGACCTTCTCCTCCCTGTTAAGATCATGCAAATTCCAATGAAGCATGGACATCAAAAGTTGTAATTGGAAGACTTGAATGTAAAATTAATTTGCATTTTCCTCTTGATTTGCGATATCAAATTCTCTGAACTGTACATAGCTCCAAAATCATGTCCCCACAAATCACAACCCCCAATTTAAAGTTGTGGAAAACTGGGAAATCAAGATGGTTTTCTTAAATTACAATTTATGTTGCAACACCCTGAACATCAATATTCCCTTCTTAATTTGCGTTTAAAAAAAAAACACATAATACATACAAAAAAGGCAATTTTTCTGGACTTTATGGACTGTCAATAGTGTCTATAGAATAAGATGCATGTTTCCCCTTAGAGTGTAACTGAAACTTTCCTTTTGGAAGGTATTACAAGGCGAAAACCCACAATTTCATGCCTCTTATAATGACCACATGAAAATGAAGAGTTGAATCTGGGATGGAATGCTTCTCAATCCAAAAAAGTAAAGTAGTGGAGCTGTTGAAAAAAAAATTAACTAAAAAAAGTTTTAATACTGCACAGAAAAATACCCAGAGGAAGAATGAGTTGAATACCATTTTCTAGCCAGTACAGTTTTACTAATACTGGTTTATGGTGAGCTACAGCTTAGCAGCAGTGGTTTCCAACTGGTGGGTTGCGATGATCTTCCAGGTGGGTCAGGAGAGAATGAAATGAATTTAAAATAAAATATGTAGAGATATTAGGGAAGACAGAGATCAATCATAAGAGCAAAACCAAACTAAAAGGCAATATTACTTGAACTTAACTATCCAGGAAAGACTTTACCTACTAATTCATATTAGAAGGTAGCACAGGGAGAAAGCTTGCTGGCAAACAGCTTTAAATGTCTTTTTAATCATCTTGCTTTTCACCTCCAGTCAACTCCTTGTCAGTTACAACATTCCCTCTGGTTCCTTGGTGCTGTGATTCAAGGTGACTTTTTTTGGCATAATGCTAATTTTATAGGCCTATTCTTGATTTCATTTCTCTGCCACATGATCTGATATATCTCCTTCTCTGCAATTTTTTGGAGGGAGTTTTAAGAAGTTCATCTCATCCATAATTTCCTGTGTCTACTTATTTAGGTTTAACATGCAAATGCAAATAGTTTGTTTCCTGATAAAACCAAGTGCAAGCACTGGTACTAATGGTAGCAACCTGGTGTCGCTGGGACAAAAGTTGGTTTTCCTCCCACAAAAAGTCAATACTAGTACCAATCCAGAAGGATAATGATTCATATCTTCAGGTTGTTTGGCAGAGTCAGAAGGTATGAAACCAGATTATACAGTTTCAGGTGAACTGCTGGCTGACGTATCCATGAAGCCTTCAAAATTGAAGCAGCATTTGTATTGAAATCACTCTACATTAAAAGATGAACCAGTCAAGTTCATTCAAAGGAACCTCAAAGAGGTAAAGAAACAGAAAGGAATAATGAAAGAATCACTTGTGCCTAAAGATTGGAAGCATTATTTCTGTATTAAATAAATTCATTCAATATTTTTAAATCTCACAGCTGCATTCATTTTGGATGTTTCTAAATGTATGAGTCATATAAATATGGGAAGAGGCCTCAATGAGTCACAACATAAGAAAGTTGAGAACCACTGACCTAGAGAAAGCTTCTCTAGCTGGGGAGACTAAAAATATAATTATTGTGGCTGATTGCTGCACAAAATGTGCATAAGGAAAAAGTTATACTTCACTTGGTAGGGACAAAGAACTCAAATTATGCAATAGCTCCTTGAAAAACAGGACCATTTGTACATTTCCATCCTTGAGTGAGATCCCTTAAAAAGTATACCTTGCACCTCATTCCAGAAAAATGGCTCAGCTACATTGACCCCTAATAAAAAGAACCCCTAATAGATAGATATATTATGCATTTCAGAGCAGAGTAAGCCCAAGCAATTCCATGCACCCGCGGCTTTTTTAGCATGTTCAGACAACGGGCACGCGACATCGATTCTCAGGCATGGGCTGAAGAGCTTCACTCCCATGACAGATTCCGCTCCTACAGGATTTTCAAAACCACTCTAAACAAAGAAAAATATGTGGATATACTGACACCCAACGATACCTTTATCCTAAGCAATTTTCGCGGAGGGATGTTCGGGCTGAGAGAACAACAAGGCAGATATGAAGATATAGATTACCATGACAGACTGTGCACACTCTGCAACCGCGGAGAGATTGAAGACGAATTTCACTTCATGCTAATCTGCCCTGTATACTTGTCATACAGAAACTATCTAATACCATGGTATTACCATGACCACCCCAACAAACAGAAATTTTCAATTTTAATGCAATCATCACATATTAATACAATCAAATCCATGGTGAAATTCCTTAAACTAGCCCGCGATCTCAGAATAGAAATTATGAGAACCTAAAAATTACTAAAGAAAGTCAAATATTTGTGTAATAATGTCTAAGACATTGAACACAATAAACTCATTCATTCATTCATTCTTATTCAGGTAGATAACTTATTGAGTGACCCTCGTACCAGCGCCGCCTACAACGGAAGAATAACGCGCGAATAATAACCCTCCCTGCGCTATCTACATGTTTTTCGGAGACGGTATGAGATGCACAATGAAATTAGCCCATTTTTTGTCCATGGAAATTTGAACTGTACGTATGGCATGGATAAAACCTAATCAGGCATTTTCCTAACGTGGCACGTGCACGGCGCTCAAAGGTTGACGAGTAAACGTTAATAATGTTCAAGCGGTGCTGGCCTGTTTCGCAAAAGACAGATATAATGCTATTACAACTCCTACAACGCGGGCTAGCTCTAAATTACCTTGCAACGTTTCTTTCAGACGCCAGTATATGTACGTTCGAGGACTCAGGGACAAGCACCGCACCAGGCCATAATCAGACCTTTACCTGTCTGACTACAGGGTGCGTAAGAAGTTCTGTTAAAAACGTTTTCTTGCCTAAAAACAACCAAAGTAACAAGAATGGCAACTCCAAGTTATAATGTATTAATACAAAGTGTCAGTCAATATTAGGAACCATGGCTATTCGAAATGTCCGCCACGTTTGGAAATGCAAGTCTTCAATCGAGGGCAGAAAGCGTGTACTGCAGCACGCAGCTGATGCTGCGGAATATTCTTCCATTCTCGGACCAAAGACTTCTTAAGAGCCTCGATGCTGCGGTGGGCACTAGCCCCAACCCTTGTTTCCAAAATGGACCAAATAGAAAAATCCAGAGGGTTCAGGTCAGGGGAACTAGGAGACCATTGGTCCTTTGTGATGAAGTTCGGAATTTCTCGATGACATTTCCATGCTTGGAAATGTTGGAACTGTGTGCTGGCACACCGTCTTGTTGAAATGTCCAAGCCTGGCTGCCGAACATGGTCTGATCCGCATGTTTCTCTACTGGGTCTAGAATGATATCTCTGTGCATCGCACTGTTCATCTTGACCTCTTCAGGAACGAAAACCAGATTGATGCGACTGTTGGCAGACACCCCTGCCCAAACCATAACTGACTGGAGGTGTTGTGAGTGAGGCATGATTAGCATTTCATCCGAGACATCTGAGATCCGTGGCGCGAGGATCCGATCATTTTGTCGATTGGAGGTAGCCTGGATGGTGAACAATTTTTCATCGGAAAAAAGGATTTTGTCCACGTCATCAAACGTGAACCGCTGCAGCAAGGCCTTGCTTCGTTGAAGCCGCAACTGCCTTGTGTGAGGTGGCAGCAGCTGCGCATGCATGCGTTTGAGAGATTTCAGGTGAATGTGTTTTTTGACAATAGTTCTCATGGATTCCCCTGATATGTGCATTTCCCTGGCCATCTTCCTCATGGAGCGCCTGGGGTTCCGTTGAATTAGGAGTTCTCTCACGATCCTCGATAGAGTGGGTCTGCTGGTATCGTTTAATGGTGCGGTGAATGAACATGCGATTCGTGCCTCGGCCAGAGAGGACTTTGAATATCTCTGGTGGTGTTTTCCGTTGAGATGAATGATAGCTGCACGTTGTGCATTCATTTTGACAAAAAATGACACGAACTGATGAGACCATCGCTTCACATGCAATTATAAGCTACATGTCCATATACGTCACACGCACATAAGCTTGTGAAAGATTCTACCCGTGAGTCTTCCTATGCGAGTCCAAAGTTTGTAACAGAGCTTCTTACGCACCCTGTCACCCTGTACAGGAGACTCGAGCGATTCCTCCCAGAACAAAGCTTGACGTCAAAAAGAAGCTAAAGAATAGTCTAACTGGGACATGCAATGAAATAAGAACACTCCCTACCGCACGAATCTCTTGATTCACCAGACAGCGACGTAAGGAAGGGAAGGGTTCGGTCACGACTTCAATGTAGGAATGCCGAGAGAGAAACGATTTTCTGTAACCGAGGAGGCCAATAGCCTCATGAGCAAGTTGATCATCCGCTCACTGGGTCTCCTGCTCTCCGACCTCTCTTGACTGGAGCTGTCTTCCTGCAGTGATTCCCGCAAGCTTCTTCCATTCTCGTCGTCCTCCAATAATTCCAAGGTTTAGACGAGTATCTGACGTGACCTCGGGCATCGGGACTTGGCATCCGCGTTAGCCACCTCATGTTTAACCGGAAAGATGTCGTACTTCAAGATCGAATTCGCAATTATTGAACTATTGTAAATAAAAGGAAATGATGCTAGTGCAGCTTACGAATTAATCCTTTCGGTCCCGACGAGACTTAATGGTCCCGCTTTTTTTTTTCGTTTATTTTACAGGGCTATATACGAATGCCCGACCTTGAAGCCTGAGTCCCCTGTGACCTCTTTTGGAATTTGTATTTTTCTGGTTAATGACGTTTCATTGTGGGCAGTTGAATTAGACAATTGTGTTTTTACATCATTTATATTTATTAATTCAGGACCGAAAGGGTTAATCATATGCATACCCAATACGCAAGAATGAAGCGATCAAGTATAAGACAAATTGATCAGCATCCATGTGTCAGAATTTGGAGAAAGGGCAGAAAATGAGAAAGCCATGACTCACCTGTTACTAAATCGCTTCGAGAAATGTAGAATTTAAAATTGTAGAAGGAGCACGGGGCATCAGAATGGACACACGAATTGATTGTTTCGATTATTGGAATGATTCTTCTTATAGGAGATGATGAAGTATCGTTACATCCCAAAAATGGACAGAAAATAATCTTCAAAAGGAAAGAAGGCGACATTCTTATATAGTCATCAAATGGCATGGTAAAAAAAAGTAATGATAATAACGAAATTCACGTAAATTCGAGAATTGTCATTTATTAATTAAATATTTTTTTCCAAACATATAATATACATTTGGAAAAATATGGGGGAAACGGTTTTCCAGGGGAACAGAACACGTTCCGATCATTTAAGCAGAAATCGTTCGTCTATAGAGTGAAATATCCGACTTGGACCTTTCTGAAAATAAGAGCTCCCCTTCAGAAAGGAAACCGGTTTATTGAACAAAAAGGGTACAATTCCGTCTGAAATTTCCGATCAGCATTCGGTAAACAGGGCGCGTTCTTCATACTCCTAATCTTCAGCATGAAATGCGACTTTCCACCGACTTAAAATCGATAATCCTTCTTTCCGATCGATCCCGGTCTCATCTCATTGAAAGAGATGAGACTGGGAGTGCTCCCTCATAAGCCAACGTCCTCTGATCGTTTGCTATTCGATGACCATATTCAATACAGGTGGACAGAACCAAGCAAATGCGACTTTCGGTTCTTTCCGTGAAAAAAAAATTAAATATTGAAGAAATAAAATTCAAGCTATTTAAGGCTTTCAAACATTCTAGAATATTCCCGAATTAACAAATATTAATTATTAGGAAAAAAAAAGCCTTTCCCACTTAAGACCTGCATCCCGTGTGCAACGCCCTGCAGGATGCCCTTACAGTCCGGATGTCTGCCGACAATCTCTGCAACTGGCGGTCGCAGACAGAACGTGTCACCGTGTGCCCGGAGAGCATTTATAGGGTATGTCACAAAAAAAAAACACTTGCATATCTTCGCTATCACCGGAGCTGCTCTCACGATACTTAAGCTGTGCATACATTCCCAACATATGTTCCCAACAGACGTTTGAAATTCCATCCAAATTGATTTTGGCAGACCAAGACCCCGAGTAATTGCTCAAAAGAAATAGGAAATTGAAAATGGACAGGGGACTCCATTCCCTTCTGAATGCCTCATTCGAAGACAAGGGAAAAGTCTGAACAACTACGAAGAAATTTTCTGTTTTAATACATATTGATTCATCTGTCATTAATTGGAGCAAAGCTTGTCAAAACTATCTCCAAGATACGCTCCGTCTTAAAAAAAAATAAAAATGAATGTCAATGGAAGAGAAATCTGATGTGGCCTGGATGACATGCAGAGCGTTAGGGCGTGTCCTCCACTCCACTACTAGCACGAATTCTTGTCCATTTTCATTATTCGATTTATTTTTAATCATTTCTTACAGCCTTGCCTCACAGAAATAAATTTTGAAGATATTTTGATTTTTTTTGTTGGGGGGGCATATTCATCTTTGCACAGTAGAAGTTTTTATTTATTTATTTAGGAAAACAGCTCCCGCGGGAGCAGAGATATCTTAGTTGAAAGTCTGCTTTATTTTTTTTGTCATATCCTTAAGGATAAGCTGAACCCTTAACTCTTTGTCTCCGAGCAGCTGATATATCGGCTTGTAAGTTTTGTTCCGTTTCGCGAGCAATCCCACATTTTAAACGACTTATACAGTCGATATAAAACTCGAACTACTTCTGCTAACGAAATATCTTCAATCTGAACACCAATTCGATAGAAGAAAGACGTGTTTTCACCGATTTACGAACCCCTATTTCGAAACAACGAGGATGACCACGCCCACTACTTCGTCGCTTGACTTCAGAACCTCGTTTGTTACGTCCCTTTGACATAATGTACTTTTCTTCAATAAAATATTAGTATTAGGGGGCAGTATAAGGACTTGGTAAGTCATGTTTGTGTGAGTATTTTTTCTTCTCGTCTGTCTTTCTACCATCCTTTCACGCTGTAAAATTACTTTATCTTTCTAAAAACCTTAATATTTTTTAAGTAGAACATATATCTACATCAATTTCCCTTTACTTTGATGTATAATAACATGTATATTTCGATAACCAAGCATGCCAAAACTCATTTGCAAAAAACATCCACCATTACACTTTCTTGCGGCCATTTTCACTCCGTCCAAACCTTGTTTTTGCTCCGGAGACAAAGAGGCCCGATCAAGAAAGTTTCCAATGGTTTCTATAGTGAAACCACCATTCATCATCTTCGAATGTACTGAAATCCATGCGTGGGAGAAATCACAGCAACTAGAGTCATGTTCCCTCGTTGAGTATCAACCCAGTCCGGTCTCTTCGATGGGCAAATATGAGAAAGCCTAACTGCAAACATTTCAGCGTGGAAAATGAAGCAGAAACCCTCGTATCAGGTACTGAATAATTGCATGCTTTGTTTTAGGTTCATAGGTTCGTGTTGATCGTTGTACTGAAAAAGACGCCAAAATCTCTTTCCTGTAGATGGATGGATATTTGACTATTTAAGGACCCTGTTCACATCCAAACAAAAATGTTCCGAAACTCGTGAGGAAGTTTCACTTCGTGTCCCTCTCCGTCCTATGAGCCATCTTCCAGGCAATGTTCATCTCTTTCTTAGAGATGTTCTTTTATGCATGTTATACCGAAAACTTGCTTTCACATCATCACAGACAGGTCAGAGAGGTCATCCTGAATAAAGTCGTTCTTTCCATGGGGAAAAAAGAATTGGGGAAAGAATTTGTCATTTACTGTCAGGTTTCTCATTGCCTCCCCTCCACTGTATGGATATGAATTCCTGTGATCTAAGTTCCTTACAATTAAATCAATTAGGAAACAGGAGTCCGCATCACCGTGCTCAAGGAACGTAATGTCGAGGAAGGAGGGAGAGAGGCTATTAGGAAATGCTGACAAGGTTTATGACCATCGCGGGCCTCTCACTTCCCATGACAGGTCTGACATGGGGAGAACAGCCCGCTACTCCGATCTCAGAGTATGTTATCTGCACTGTGATGCGGCTTTTTTCATGGTTATTTTAAGTCGTCTTTCGAATCCCATTTGTGTGCATCGAGGAACATGTCACTAGTAGGAGAACGGTGCAAGAGAATTGGAGTGACATGCACCAAATTAGCTAAATATATATTGAATATATATTTAATTCGGATGACGACATAAAGTTTTGAAACGGTATGACCACGCCGATGTCTCGAGGCGATGAATGTAGAACGCGGAAAGTGAAGGAAAAAAAAAAAAAAAAAAAAGAGGGGGGGAAAAGTTCGTTCCCCTCGATCAGATAAGAGACCCGATGGAGTAAGAAGGATTTTAAGATATGCTTTCCGTCGGAGTGAGCCCTGAGGAAAGAGAGGGGCGGGGAGACGCTTTGCGACATCTATGCAACACCTTCGCCCTAGCTCAATTTTCAGGAAGGGTATGACCCCTACCCCCCTTTACGCAAGTCTCATCTCCCGGTTCAAGCGAAGGAAAGGCGGAGTCGAGGCAGAAAGTTTAAGGGAGAGAAAGCCATGTTGACAATAATTTAAGTACTGCATAAAAGTGCATCAATAACCAGTCATCCCCTTCGATATGCGCGAAAGCGGAAAGGAGCGAGGAAATGCGCCATCGGTCAAGGATGAAGGAGACATTCAAGCTCTCTCCACTCCATGGTCCCGTCTATTGAGCCATGCAAGTGGCTAGTGAGTTAAAGCAGATCAACAGCGGACCAGTGAAGACGTTCAACGAAGAGTCCTCGGAAAACAAAGTCCATCTTCTCTAACGGAGTCAGATAACGAGGATAAGACCTGGGACATATATCACCTAGTGGGGGACTTGAACTGAAATCTCGTGGTGACTTCTATCTGACAAGTTACCCGATTGGATAACGAAAAACGTGACTACCTACATGTCGCTATGTAAACGAGGTTCGTGCTTGTTATCAGACTCTCCCCCCTCGTGTGACACTTCACTGATGACGCTTCATAGATACCGTCTTGAAGGAGCAGTCGAATAACCCTGAGATTTCACAACTTATCAGATTCTTTTTAAAGGGCCTTCGGCTATGTAGAGGCGGGGATGTGAGTGAGATAAGTGCAATGAGTTCTACGCCACCACCCCCTGCAACCTCTCTTGGGTCAGAAAGTAGCGGGTGTAGATCGAGGCGACACTCCGAGAGATGGGGAGAGAGGGAGGGAATCCAAATATTACAATGACATCTGATGGCTTACTGTCAACATTTCCATGCTTCGTAGTCGCAGAATTGGAATTCGGCTCTTTCGGGGATTCGACCCAAAGGGAGTCCCCAAATAGAATGCATGTGCCTCGTGAGGTCCGCTGCCGCCGATGGAGGAGTTATCGAAGTATGTGGAGGATCGGCAGTGATATCTACATCGCGGTCCTGTCGATGAATGGGATTCGAGTGGAGTGTCGCCTCCATCGCGACCCTGTCGATGAATGGGATTCGAGTGGATTTTCGCCTCTGATTACTCTCTGGTCGCGTTTACGTTGCGATCCGACGAGTTTTTTTTCTTCTCCCCAATCATGCCTGGCAACCGAGCAAGGGGGACTGGATCTGAAAAACTGACGGTAAAGTTGGTCTCAACCACGAATCTCACGTTCTTGCAAGCCACCTTCCTCGAAGGTTTGAAAAGACGGTTAAGTCCCCGGACACAACCGCTTCTATTGTTTGATTCACGTAGCGGAGTCACATTTCAACATTTCTTAAATGTGAAAGCCAATTGTGACAAGAAAGCAGGGGCTTCAAAATTATATTTTACGGCAAAAATAATGAATACAATTAATTAGGAAGGTCATACGAGCCAGGTCAAAGATCAGCTCTAAAATAAATCGGATTAGAAATACACCATCTGCAAAAAAAAAGGGCATCGAAGGAGCGGACGGTGAAGTTTGGTTGCGGAACTTGGGAGGAGTTTTTTTTAATAGACAAAATCCGGTCATGCAAGGATCTGCAGGTCTTTATAGATGCAGATGGAAATTGCCGTTGGTTGAGGACCTGCCAAGTGCGTACTCCATTATGAGCTCTGTTTTTTTTTTACTTTTTTTTTCTTTAACAAACAGGCGGCAACATTTTTAATTTGCCGACAATAGGGAGGATTCTGGAATGTTAGCAGGGCTTCCTGCCCAGTTATTAAGGTCTAGCTATAACCCTGATTTAGTCGTGGTTTATGGGTTTGCGGTGTAGGCTTTGCAGACCATTACTTCAAAGCACCTGCTCTCGCGATTGTGAAGAAACGTCATGCCAAGATTACAGATGGAAACGCCTATACCTAGTGCGATCATTCAACGGAAAGGAAGAAGAAAGACCACAAACGGCTAGGGAATCGTTGTTGTGTTACAGTGTTACGTTCAAAATGCCAGGCGTTGACAAAAAACCAAGAAAATCAGACGCCTAAAACTACATTCCTCGAATCTTTGGATTTCACTCATCACTTTTTCGAGCTTGATTAACCCTTTTAGTGGCAAAGGAACTCTACATAGTCGATCAAACCTATGGATCGGCCGCAAGGCACTAAAAGGGCTAAGTAACCATTAACCCTTTCGCTGTTTAAAAAAAAAGGCAGTTTCCAGAGACATCATCATCATCATCTAACGCAAAACTAAGTACGTAGGAAGCCATTTTTTACAGAATGGGTCGATAAAGATACGCAATTTATTTTTTTGTTATTCGATCATTCCGAAAGTCATATACGTCAACAAAAAGAAGCCCTGTTATATGGAAAATTATGTTGTTGTTTTTTTTTAAATACCGAATGTATGTCAGTTAAATTCATAAATGAAAGAGAAACATCCTAAAAGGACTGGGTTTCAGAGCCCGAGTACGTACTCGGGCTAACAGCGGAAGGGTTAAAGTAAGTTTCCCGCGAGTCCTTTGCACATCCCGTAAAATAAATTCCATGCATGGGTGGGTCTGAGTCAACTGAAAAGGTGTCTTACTTCACTAAAAAAAAAAAAAAGAATCCAATGCAGATTCTATGGTTATCATTAGCAACTCGCGCCATCTCTCAATTAGGGACAGGCAAAGACTCTTCCGTTGAAGTGGCTAGATGTCGTCCATGGCCAGGGGCTCGAAGCTTTTGAACGACGTTAATGTGTGGACCAAGCCCGAGAAAGGGGGCCAATCTAAACATTATGTGTTGGATGGATGATAGATGATATATCAATGAAACAAACAGCTGAAATTGGTGAAGATTGATGAAGGAGAGGAGTTGCGATTTTTGTAAATGCCATTGAAATAAAGGATTTCCAAGGAAAATCAGGTCTATGGCGCAATCTTGTCCACCTGGACTCCGAAGACATGACCACACGAGGTCATGACCTCGTGTTTCTTCCCTCTTCTCAAAGGTGTCGGTAGGGTTGCGGCATTCTGCCCTCTATCCCAGATGCTATTGCTCGAGGCGGAGACTGTTCATCCATTTCATCTCCCATTAACCATGAGGGAAGGCTCCTTCAGCACTTGCGTGCCAACTGATCGTTTCTTCAATGAGGCGCATAAGGAAATGGGAGGAGGAGGGGGGGGGGGAGGTCGATAGAGAGAGCAGAGCAGAGAAAATCCTTTCGACGCTTTTGTTGGCGTGCTTTAGTTGGGGTACTCTTCCATATTTTGACTGGATCGTAGAGGACTTGATGGTCTCTCCAAAGTCGCTTAGGATTATATTTGTTCAGCAATTTGCAATCCACCTTCCACCCCCTCAAAAGCTGAATCTCTCAACTGTAACCTTCCTATTACTGATAGCAGATGTCTAAATGGACCTCCAACGTCCGTGAACCGTAATAGATGGGGGTGGAGCCCCGTCTAATTAGGAAGATACGGCGGAAAGTGCCTTGCTGAGGAGAAAGGAGAGAAAGAAAGGAAAAAAACTTCCATCCAATTAAGCCAAGAAAGGAGGGACAGCTGTGATGCAGCCGTAATTAGTCTCACTGGATTGCAATGCAGAATCGATTGCCGTATCCATGCATCCTTTAACTATATTCAGTATGCATAAGCGTGTCAAATGATAGCCGACGAGCAACTTCTCGATAGTTAAATTTTATTATTCTCTAACAGAAGGAAGTCAGACTGCCGACTGGGCGATGCAGAAGTTTCAGGATGTGGGGATGAGGACAGGGCCTGAGGGGCACATGGCATAGAATTCCTCTTGGCAACCGGAATTGATCCCATTTATCATCTGCAATGACTCTAATCCCATTACCCTTTGGGCCTTTGTCAGTTATCGACAGCAAGAGGGTTCAGGTCACCGATTTATAATTGACCTTCCAGCGATAGCATTCAGGGGGTTTCGTCGTCGTCGATGCATTAGTAATGCTTTAGATTCGTTTGTGAAATGCTGAGATGCTAAATAAGTAATTAATAAATCTAACGGGCGAAGGAACCGGAACCAAGGGCTCCATCCTATGCTATTCGATGGAATCTCCCATATCAGCGACATATTATCATTGTATAGACGGCACCGTGAATGTCCCGTAAATTAAATTTTTTGGAGCCTAAAGAAAAAGTGGCTCAGTGGTGGAGGGAAAAGATAATGAAGATTCGTTCCAGGAGAATCCAAAAAAAGAGGTCACGAATTAATATTTTAAAAAAAGAGAGCCGAAATGCTGACCACGAAAGCCAGGATGCGGCGAAGGGGTCTCTTTGAGGAACAAGATCTCAAAAGAGACGATTAACTACAAATGACAGAAACCCTTGAAGCCTGCGTTTATGGTGAGGCTGGACGATCATGTCGCTCTCTGACTCCTCAACCTTTCAACTGTAACCTTTCTATTACTGACACCAGATGTCTAAATGGGTGAGTCCTCCAAAGTCTGTGAACCGTAATAGACGGGGGTTGAGTCTCACCTTAAAGCAGGGGTGTCGAATTGGCGGTCCGTAGGCCGGATCCGGTCCGCCAGTTCATTTTGTCCAGCCTGGGAAGTCCCCTTCAACAGTTGGTTACGAAAAAGTACTGCAAATTTCAGCCTGGTTGCATTAAAGATAAGGTGCTAGATTTTTATTATGGCCCCTAATCACCCCTAAAGGCTTCTATCCGGCCCCCAGTCTAATCGAGTTTGACACCCCTGCCTTAAAGCATGGGCTCTGAAAGGGCTGAAATGGAATGAGTGCCAGCGGGCATCTCTCCACTTGCCTCACAGATTCATTCCTGCCTACGTGATTAACTGGTTTTCAGTCCTACGCGGTTCTTGCATGAAGGCTTTCTTTTTCGTACGGGATTTCAGACTTGCATCCTAATTCTTTCGTTCTTGCATTATTAGAACAAGTTGTAGTTATATTAAGGAATTTTTGGGATTTTCCCTCCTTGAATAATGGTTTCTGTGTTGCACATTTTATTTTGCACGTGATTCTAGTGAACGAAATTCTTTCCTTTGCACTCAACTCCAATCTTCTCCATAGATGTTCGAAAATACTGGAGAGGATCGACAAGAAGTTAGAAGAAACAGGGTATTTTCTCGTGGATAGAATCACCCCTCCAAATCGTCCAGCCTGGCAGTGCACCTCAGTTAAAGTAAGTCATCTCTGAACTGGGGATATTTGCAATTTTCATTGGGTGCATTCCATGTTTCACACATTTCATGAGTTTCCTCTTAACCATGTGCTTCACGCTGAAGGGTGAATGAGTTTCAGAAACAGAGAACATGTGTCTAGAATCAAGAAGTTGGACGGACACATGAGAACAAAACTGTTAATTTGTAATGAAGGTGAAGTTGCTGCTGATAGTGGAGCTCTTGACAGCCCTCACTTCAAAAGTCATCATCATTGAGTTCACTAGTTCGAAGCAGATAAAGGGCTGAAGAGCTCATGGAATATGCGATTGTCATATCATATGCAACAACAACCTTATCTGCAGCCTCTTCATAAACTCGCTGCCGACTTGAGTCAATTACGATAAACATCGAGTAACTCGATCGAGTTCAAGGTGCCAATTAGTTGCTCTGTCAAACAGGTGGTCTTGTCTACAGTTATATCAGAGCCTTCCGGACTCCCAGCATACACTACTTTTTCCCCCATCTGTTTTTAATCAAATCTCTAAAAATGCCAGGCAAACTATTGTTGGCTGGGAGCTTAAGAGGCTGTCAGCGAACGTGCAAACAATATCAGAGTGAATATATATTTAGCCTTCGCAATGAATTCCATGAAGAAAAGAGAAGGAAATTATCTGCTTTCATTTTTATTACCACATTATTTTCAACAAGTCAACAGTGGCACAATTTCGTAAATAAGAACCCTTCGATGAGAAGCATGAAGTTTGAGGCTCATCTTCAAATATAAATGTTCTCTTAATAATAAAGGAATTAATATGCTTGGCCTCATGGATTCACATCCAGAAGGGAGCGTGCAAACCTTTTGGGACACGACTATGGGATCACCGAGTGAAAAGCGTCTTCTTTCGATGTCATTGCACCTGACTAGATGTGAAAGGTGAGGGTTCCTTTTGGCACTCTTCGAATGGGTCAACAGTTACCCATAAATGCTACTAGAGGTTGTGCCTGTATTCCCTGCACTCTGAGCTTTCCACTTCATCCAGTTGTGACGGACTATGGGATCTTGAGGCCCCCAATCTGATGCTGGCTTCAAGGCTGCCTTCAGCTTCTGATTACAGAAATAACACAAAATAATTTCAATTTCTTATATGTTACCATGATAGTCACAGCAATATGATGACTAACAGCGCGAATGCCATAGTCGATTTGCTTGATGAGGCTCCGAACAGCCAGCAGGCAGGTGAAAAATATGGGAAGAGCTGCACCAGAGTATCCAATAGGAATGACCCAAGAGCTCACTTCATTCAGGTTGATTTTGCTCCCATGCGCATAGAGACCTGACCCCAAAGTCACCTGATGGGGAAATTGAAGAAATGAATGGCCGCATTTCTGGGAAGCTCAGGGTTTGACCCGTCGTCTCAGGATAATTTTTTTTATACTTTCTTTTAGTGGGTGGCTTTGAAAGAACCAAGGAAAAGTTTATTGAATTAATAACTGTAAAGACAGAACATCAATTAAGAAGGCGGCAGAATAAGGAGGAATGGGATGGGCCAAGGAATCACCAGTCCTGAATCCGACCATAAACCTGCCTCTTCACAGTGAGAGGGAAGAACTTGCACTCACCAGGAGTACCAGGGGAAGGAGGAATGACCACCAAATGCCATAGATTCCCAAAATTTCCTTGTATAGCATAAACTCGATGTCAGTTTTCAGCTTCGATACACCTGAAATGAGGGAATGAGGATTCGTGGATTCAACTGACAGAGACGGAACGGAAGGAATATGGTAAGTAGTGGTACCGTATGCATGAACCAAGGTGAAGACTCCAATAACGACAGTCGATGAGAGTCCCAAATTCAAAATAAGACTCTCCATGCATGTATAGAAGTTGTATCCTCCCTGGGAACAAATACATTTACATCAAATATGTTCGGTTCTCTCAATTTTCTTCCAACTTGAGTGTGATGGAACTCACAACGGCCAGATAGGTGATGGCGAACATCGTGATCAGAGTAATAACGAGAAACATCATGAGTGACCTTCGACGCAAATTTTTGTGCACTTCCTCAGCTAGTGATTCGCTCATGCCGTTGACGAGCAGAATCTGAGAAAGCAAAATAAAAAACCTCGGTGCTTTCTTTGGAAACTTTTTCCGGAGACTCCACGAAATCGCAAGAAACTAACAAGTGAGCAAAGTCCTGAGAAGATCAGTAAGAGCATTGTCATGACGAGCTGAACTTCAGAAGGGACACGGATGGTGTTTGGAGTGATTCCGACAGAACCTGAGAAAACGATGAATGGGAGTCCAAACCGAAGTTCACGGATCAATGCCTCCGCGTCTCCAGAGAGATCCATTTCTCGGTCAGGGAAGAGATTCGTGTTGTAGACGGATTCCAAGCCGCCAAGGTGGCCAAAAGTTGTCAAAATGGACATCAAAGCGATCATGAGGCCGACCACGCTCATAACGGCCGAATGTCTGGAATAAACGCGAATAACATTGCCTTCATCGAAGGAAATCAACTTTTTACACCTTTTGAAGCAGTCAAGGACTCACGTCCAAACGTCTGTCCGGAACCCGTTATTCTTCGCCAAGGAGGTCAAGAGACCAAATCCCAAGGACATCGAGAGCAATACTTGAACTGAAGCCTCATACCAAAGCTGGAAGAATGAAAAAAGTGATGACTCAAGGATGAAGGGTTGACGAGATCAACAATAAAACATTTTTTTTAGGGCCTCTCTGGAGGCTGTATGCTGGCAAAGGAGTAACTTGATATTCTATTCAAGGTGAGGGGTTCTGCAATTGCCTTTTTTCGCATTCTTGGATTCTGATGACTCATGCAGCCTGGCGACTTTCAGTTACTAGTGCGTTTTAAATCTGGTTAACTCTTTTACTTTGGTGGTTGACGACCAAATTTTTTTCTTTTTGATTTCGTGAATTCTGTTGACCCATTATTTTTTAGCTTTGCCGTTAATAGCTTCTGCTCCTCTAGCTTCATTCTATTTGCATTCGGGCGGGGGAAGAAGCGACCGCTTTCCTTCCCCCCGTCCCGGCCGCCTTACTCAAATGAATGCAAGAATTTTCCGTGGGAAGTTTGATCCTGCTCGTTTGTGGTCAGGGATGATATATTCCTGGAGCGATGAGTGGAGCAGATCGTAACGTGGGCGTAAGGAATGACCTCCAGCGATGCAGAATGATCCAAGAGAAAAATAACTGTACAACCCAGGAGAGAATATGAAATATCTCTTGGCAATGAATCGCCCTTGCCAGCAATGTATTAACCCATGCGTGCCCGCTGCATCTACCTCTTTATTATCATTGGCAAGAGTCATTCATCATGAAAAGTGGTGGAACGAGGACTCTACATACCTTGGGCTCTTCCAATCGCTTCCAATGAAAGTCGACGAGGTGTTGAAGACCCTTGAAGTTATAAGTAGCATCGATGTAAATACCGAAGCTGAATTGGAGGACAAAAAGACATCCGGTGATGCAGGCCAGGAACGAGAGGAAGTGCGAACATTTTCGGAAACCCATCGACAGGCTGCAGACACAGAAGAGCATCTCTTGAAGGACTACAGGCTTAGCTAGTAATGAGCATAACGATGAGAATAATGACTGGATTTCACATACCAGACACAGACGATGAGGACTGAGACGAGTACTCCCGCAGGGAAAGTCCAAGCCCTCTTGTCCGGGGAATCAAATTTCCCAAGGATATCCATTCTGACGGAAGCAAAAAATTCTCAATAGGATGTGTATTTTTTTCACATATTTTTTCACATTTTTTCACGTATTTTTTTAAACGCTTGACACGCAACTCGTCCTCTCCCCATCCTTTCATTTTCCCCTTCAGCGTCGCCGATAAAGCCAAAAAAATGCAATCCACTCTGAAGGGAAAACACAAGCCCTTCTTTTCACGATTTTGTACGTAATAAAACGACTTCGTAACATTTTCAATAACCCCATCAAGATTCCATCGCAAATATGCACTTCTTCCGATTCAATGCAAATCTCCCACGAAGCCTCACGACGGGCTAGTTCACTTTGTAAAGGAGTAATATTAATTTATTTAAAAAATCAAATCCGGTTTTGGAGCCAAAGGTGAGCACGCTCCTGTCTTTTTATGTTTGGAATGGAATTTGATGACGTGAAAGGCTCGCAACTTTAAAGGGCGTAAAAAAATTTTTGGAAACAGAGCAGGCGTCAATTCCGTGGTAGTAGTAAAAGCAACTACTTATCCGTTCGATCGTATGTTGCGGTAGAGGCTATCTTGACGAAACAGTCAAGTAGGTATCGAAATAACATCATGTGATATACCGATCCTTGAGAAAAGGTGGAGTTCTCATACCGCACCAAGCTCTCATGAAAAAGTTTTTTTTTTTATACCAAGCGCTCCATTATGTATACGTGTACATCCATATTACAAAGACTTGGTGGGTTCTGGGATGATTTGAGGCCTTCTGTTCCTGCATATGGAAAGAATAGAGGAAAACACACTACGCAATGCAGATCCGATATGGATTCCAAGCATGAGGGACACTCATAAATTCCAATCAGATGCATAAGCATGTTGACGATTACCCTACATTACAATATCTAAAAAAGGGGGCCAGCCTTTTTTTTTCTTGGAATATCTCCATCCTATATCAGGCGAGCCTTGGTTTGTCTACACATGCTATCTCAGATGAATAAGAAAGATTTCTGTGAATTCAAATAAATTTCCACTCAATGCTTCAAAAGCAGAAACTTTTCATAATTTGTCTTCACTTTATAAAAAAAAAATAATTATAATCGCGGGGGGCAAGCAATCTGCTCAAAGCTAAGTATGCTGCTTTTGGGGGCTCAAACATGACTGAGCGAAGACGGCAGACGGAAATTGGTTTTTTCATCACCAATTCTTCTTCTGTGTTCCCAGGAGCGCTTTGCACTCATTAAACTCAAGTGGGCCTGTGCATTTTCTCAGGTGCTTGTCCTCAGAATTGAACCCCATGTCGTTCTTACTTTGGAGTATCACGATTCACTGTACGCTAAAAACCGCACTAAAAACCGCAAGATCTGAGGCCTGTTGGGCCTGAGATCCACAGAAAAGCCAAAATAAATACATCATTAACAATGGAACTACGACGTGAAGGAACCGAAATATGACGCGATAAATGGTATGAAGGCTGTCAAGTTTAGACAAATGTGAAAACCAATTTTCGGATTTGTTTGACAGAAATCTTCCTTATCAATCTGAGATATCTTGGTGTCGACAAACCCAGGGCCCGCACGATATCAGATGGAGATATTCTATACAGTAAACTGGTTCCTCTTTTAGCGACACAGAGTACAAGCATGAAAACAAGGCCGCAAGACTTTACAGCATCTACCTCCAAGTCAAAACTTTTGTTAGGATGAAATCCGCTAAACGCATAGTCGGGAGGACTGTGACGAATGCGAAACTTTGCATGATTACGATGTGAGAAATGCGGAGACGAGTCGGATGAATTGAGTTTTGCATCTGTGGGCTGCGTCTGCTGGAAAGCTCCACCCGGATTCCCTTTTTTTTTTAATTCGCTTTTGATCCATGAAGCAGTAAAAGATTAGCGTAAAACTAGACATCTTTTCAAATCGAATCGATAAAAGTTCCTACCAATCAGAACCGTGTCTAGGTCATGCACGTTATAGGTAAGGACTGGGAACTTCTCGAAAGAGCAACAATATTGGAAATTGTTGCGCTTCCGAGTTAAGATTGAGAAATTTCACATAAGGGCCTTCTAGTCACAATTAATATTGAACGAATTCATTAGATCGTCTCTATATCGCAAGAGGAACAACGCCAATAAAGAGTCCCAAGCTCGTGCTCACTTTTTTCCCGTTTTACAGAGTTACAGAGAATTTTTTCCTACAAACAGCCCACTATTTAGTGACCACGCCATGTTTACCACCACGTGCTATGCGAAACTACTAGACCTATTATTACCAAATCCCTCAAGTGGAAATTGATTAATGGTCACTTTTTTCTGACTGTGGAATGATCATAAATTTAAGAAGTCCAACCTGAAGTAGTAGGCCGGTGAAGGCAGGGATTGAATACTGCAGTTTCCCTAGAAGGAAATTAAGTGGATTAATCCCTGGCAATGAGGATGATCTCTGGACAAGATGAAAGAGCTCTCGCTCACTTGTGAAGGACAGCAAAAACCATCCGACGGGCAGGTGAGCCAAGGGAGTTGAGATTGGAACCCATCAATGAGGTACATCCAGCCCGTGGCGACCACGGGCAGGTACAACACCCCCGCATAAATGCAGCACAAGAATTGCGCTACTCCCACCCCTAGATGCAAGGATTCGCGGCCAGAGTTGCTATCGTTCCGGGGGACAGAAGCGGGACCTCGAGGAAGTCCCGCTTGTTCTCAGGAAAAAGAAAATGCAGTACCTTTCAAGAGCTGGACGCATTTCCAGGACGATGTGAAGCCCCTGCCGGAGAACTGGCCGAGGGCAGATTCCAAAAGATAGAGAGGGAGGCAAATGAGAACCCAGATGAGCAGAAACACGAGGATAAACGTCCCTGAAAGGACACAATGAGAAAGATGAAGGGGCATGTTCTCCTTCATTTCAAATTTCATCGATATTAATTTATTTTTTGCTTATTTTTCATTACGATACTGGACGGATGAAGGAAGTAATTTTTTTCCACCTTCAAGAACATCCCAATTTCCTCAGAATACGCTTACGAAGATTTTTAACAATCCGATTTACTTCCTTTTTATGTGTGACGAAGGCAAATAAGATAAAAGTCGAACCTTGACACATATCGCGATATTGTGAAACCGATTTGGCTAAGAGAATGTTGCATTATTAGCTCATCAAATCCAGAAGATAATGCGTGGCAAAAAGCCTGACGTCATCTCTAAAAAATTTCCGATCATCATTTACATTTGCGGCAGATAAAGCGACGACAAAGGCGCGAAATTGCAAGCCCTCTGACTCACCCCCTCCGTATTCGAAGACGAGGCCAGGAAGTATCCAGAGATTCCCCAAACCGAAGATCAAAGCAAGGCTGACCATGAAAGCGTGGAATTTGCTCGGCCAGCCTCCACCCATGTCATCGTGAATGAGAGATGCTGAGGGATGATTTCGACGGAGCAACTGTGGCACAGAAATGCGAGTGAAACGGAAGCGTGAATAAAGGAGTAGAAAAAGCCTGACAACTCCCAATCCTATCATTTTGAGAAAACTAAGACTTTCCGGAGTAATTAAGAGTAATAGCCTTGACTGAATGGGGGAAAAGCTAGGGATTCTTTAGAGTAAAAATATTGCCGGAAGTAGTCCTGAAAGTCCTGCTGCCGACCCCCTGATTGAGAAAAATGCCACCGGCACCATCCCTAATTATTTTCTTCTTCTTTTTTTTTACTTACGGAAAAAAAATCTGCACTAAAAGCTGGACATTACGATGGTCTAAACATAACTGGTAAGGTTCTGTGTCTTTTCGCACTGCTATTCCATATTCCACATTGAGTAGTTAAAACACCTAGGAGCAGATCCTACTCGAAACCAAAGAGATTCCATCCGTGCCCTGAGGGCTCCAGCAATTCTCCACGAACCAGTTGGTAAAAATGAGCTAAGCATCGTAGATGCGCATTTTTCTGGGGATGAAAATCCCAAGAACAGAAAGCTGGTGGGGATTCGCAAAAAACAGCCACAATGTCATTTATTGCTGCAACCTCTCATGATTAATTATTCTGTTCGTTCACAACTCTTCTCTGAGTTCAGTAGACCCTTTATCTCAAATATTTACGGAGAGAGGTTTATCGAGTCTTTCCACCCACACTCGTGGAATGCAAACCCATGTAATGAAATAAACATAGGCGTAGGAGGAGGAATGAGGAAAATGTCACCTGGAGCGTGGAACTGTTGGATCCCGACCAGGGAGAGGCAGAAGATCGGTTGAAATCATGCTTGCCGTAGAAAGACGGTGTGGACAGTCGGCCTTTGCTTTTCACGGATGCCGTCGCTTGATCGGATAATCCGGAAGAAGCCGTGGAGAAGACCGAATCCGTTCCGGTTCCGTTCCGGCGGCTCTGGGACTGCTGAGTGACTTTCTCCAAGGCCTGTTGAATGGTGGAAAACACAGCTTTTTCCGCCATGGCCCGAGCAGTCCGAGGAGTCAAGTTCGACGCGTGTGGGGACGAGACCTTTCCCGCGTCACTCGGCGACCCATCCATGGGCACATATTCGTAGAACACGCTATCGTCCCCCGAAACGTTCATCACGGTCCGGTTCTGCGGCGGCGACGAGTCCTGCCCGGACACGTAGATCACACTGACGTTGTTCCTCGAGCTCATTTCCACCGCGGAAGTGTCTTCTGCTTCGCCTCCTCCTTGCCCCGCCTGAGGAGATAACGACACTCACGATAAGTATGCACGAACGGGTCGGCCCCGAATGAAAGAAAAGGAAGTAAGTCCCCTTCTCGCGTGTGTTTTATCGATAATATCCGCCTCCTCTTTCCTCCCGCCTCTTACAAATCCCTTCGACGGAAACGATAAGGAAATTGTGTCCTCTCCACGATTGGAACTAACGCATTCCGGAAAATGGAACGTGCCGTATCGATGCACCGGAAATTGTCGCGGTCGATTCAAATAACAGTTCTTTCAAGGAGATAAAAACTAGGATGCACTGGTTATCTTGCGTAACGAGAGTCACCAGACGGGGGAACCGAGTTGGGGAAGAAGAATACAGGAGAACCCGTCAATTTTTTATATTTCTCTTCGCTCTATTCCTTTCCCGCCGTGACCGAACCGGATGGATAATGGGTACAAGAACCAGTCAACCTTCGAGAACCCGCATTCTGCCGTGAGCCGCCGGGGAATCATGCGTACCGCAAATGCCACGTGAGCCGGACTTTCTCAAGGTCGTCCGAAGAAACTACACACACCGACGCGGGGAAGTCGCCTCGGGTCGAGTCGGCACCACTTCGTCGGGCGGGGACGGCCGTGACACTGATGCACCGAGAGGCTCGAAGATGCGCCTTATCACCTGTGCCATGGGCGATGAATAAATGGCGAGGTCAATGTTGCGGAGCGACCGAGTTTTCGGCTCGATGAGGGAGACCCAATCACCCCGGTCACCGGCCGTGACGAATATATGCAAAATGGGAGGGAAAGGGGCAAAAAGAAGAAAGAGGAAATAGAAAAACGTCTCACCCGATGGGAGTGCGCGAGAAAAGGGCCCCGCTGCGATACACAGTCACGGTGAGAAAGGGGAAGAACCGAATGTCATGACATTGGCAAAGAACGCTTATAATTCACGCTCTCTGTTCATCCTAACCGCACAAGCACACATCGTATAATAGTCGAGGCTCTAGATAAGGATTCTCTCCCTCGAAAATGCGAGTCGACACCGGACTGACGGCGTTTCTTCCTGCTTCTTCGAGTCGAAAAAGCTGGAAATTCCCGTCTCGGACGAGTCTGGGAGGAAGGAAAGTGGCTTGCGGGAGACTCGATAAACCTCTCTCCGTAAATATTTGAGATAAAGGGTCTACTGAACTCGGGGGGGGGGGGGAGACTCGCAACTTGCAAGTCTTCCCATTGCACAATCTCCCTTTTCCTCCTCCCTTCCCACATTTGCTCCGCTTTCGAGCCGAATCCCATCGCCACGAGTGAAAGATCTCGTATAAATCATCACTATGCTCCAGCGGGGCGGAAAATGAATTCACGAAGCTCTTCCTTGAAATGGATATCTCCAGAAAAAGAAAGTGCACGGAGGAGGAGCTCCCATCACGGACGTGGACCCAAATGCGTTTGCGACCTTCGAGGAGTCCGTGACGCACGACGAAAGGATATAACCACCCACCCTCGTGTTTTTTTTATTATATCGATCTATGTCGTATCTATGTCTTCTGGTTCTGTTCGAATTTTTCATCGTTTCTGATACCTCGGAGTTTCTCGCCGGTCACTCAAATGGCTTCAACACTTCAACAGTTTTGAGTATCTTTTGGGATATGCATGCTTATCCTCGTGCATCTCGCATTAGGTATCGGCGTCCTGGAATGAGAGAGCAGATTTAGGAACTCCTTTCGTCCCGTTTGCCCTTTCATCGTGTTTCTAAATGCAGCCAACCTTCGATATGACGCCATCGTCAAGTCATCGCCGATTTTGGCGCTACAACGAGGGTGGCGCTGCAGCGAATTATCTAAATCCCGTATTATGTCGGCCTATGGGGATTTACGTCCGCGAGAAAAGGTTTGCGATAAGCGAGGGGTGGCGTGATATCGAGCGGCGGCAGCACGAGGGTCGACCGATGTTCGGCAGGTGGATGTCGGAGCCGCGACGGGTATCCCGAGAAATGATGAGCGCATCGGCGTCTCCCGCTGTGTCCTGTCGGCGAGACTGGTCTTTAAATGGGTCGGTCGGTGTTGCCGTTATGTCGAGGACGGGTCCATTACCGAGACGTTCGACTAATTCGCATCGCTTCACTTGGCTGCAGTTCGATCTCGGGCGTTCGGGGCCGCCTACGGGCTGGTGAAAATGCCCCGTCGGTCCTCGGAGGAATTTCTCCTTCGGTCTCCTTTGACGGGATCTGGCGCCGGAACACGTGACGTCGGAATTGGAATATATTTATCTGAAGAATGCATCGGGTCTCGAGCCGACGGTCTTTGGGCCGTGTGACGGATTCGTTTTTCGCTACCCCCTTCCGCCCAGAAGCTGATAATGAAAGAATGAGGAAAACCAGGAAGAGAGAGAGAGAAAAAAAAAATTAATGAGAAAACCACGAGATGAATCAATGCCAGGTGCGAGAACGAGATAACTGCTCGAAACGCCCTACATATTCCGGATTCCAAGGCGATATTGCCTTCTCGAGTCTTATCTTCTTTACGGGTTCTTTTGTTCCGCGTGAATCCTTCCCGTCAATCCTGACGAAGTACCGCCGAAAATCAGCCAGGTGTGAAACTCCCACTTCACGAGCAATTTCCGCACTCAAAAATTCTAGTGGCGTATTTCGCACCCATCGCTCCAACGAGGATAATTGCAAGAAGTTCGCAAAAACGCAGATTACAGGTGACAAGGAAATAGAAAGAAGTCAGTGAGCAAACTCTTCTCGAGCAGAGGTCAATTAATGTTATTTATTTTTTACTCATTTGTTTATTGACTTATTTTTTTGGAGGGGGGGGGGGGGGGGGGGGGGACAGGCTCGGGTGCGTTTTGTTTCGCTTCTAACGTCGAAGCAAATTAGTAGGCCTACGAGGTCGATAAGCTTTTCAAAAAGCTAAGCATGGACGGCTCACTGTTCGGGTGGAGTTGGCAGGATTTTTCACTTTCCATCGGTCGGAATTGGTCCACTTGAGCATGATGAATCGTTAAAGGTTCCCTGCGAAAGATGTGTCATCGTCGGTGAGAATAAAAACAGATGAGTCAGTGTGAGAGAGCGAGGAAAAGAGATATGAGATCTCTCTCACAGACACTCACGCACAAAGGTGCATCACTTTGCTCGCCTTGCCCCCGGAACACCTGCATGTGGATACGATCTCGGGGCGGGGCGGGGAGGGGGGACCCCGACGAGACACTTCTGCATGGGCTCAGAGGACTTCGGCTGATGTCCCGCATCCGTATGCTGGAAGACTGTCATCCATACTCATGAGCTCCTTCGATCAGATTACGCAACTTGCATCGGCTTCCTTCGACCTCCTCGCTCTCTCGCCGTCCTTCGTCGTTCCCCGCATTTCCAGATGCGTTCTCGCTCTTGTTTGCCGCCCGTATTTGCGGAAATGGGTATGGTCTCGTGGATTCCTCGAGTCTGACGCGTGTACGACCGTCAGTGCTTTCGCGGTCGGAGGATTGCCGATGGATACGAGCATTACAGCGTGCGGGATGGTGCGTCATCTTGGAGAGTTCGGCGTTGTTCCCTGCATACATATATCGTGCACAGGTCTTATCCGTTACTCTTTTGAAGATTGATGAGTCGTGCTCCGACTTCCCGGCTCGAGTTTCGTGTCATCGTTTTGGGTCGAGATGATGCGACGAAGTCACATAACATATCGTGACGGCGAAGGAGAAACGTTTCCCTCCCAATTCCCCCCTCCCCAAAGGTCACGCGAAGCTGCTAGCAAGACGCGCCCTCTCTCCGAGCCCGCGGAAAGCGAAGAGACGACTTGACTCCGGCAGGTGAGGCCAGCCTCGCGTCGGAATCGCGAAAAAGCACGCGCATGCGCGTCACGAAAAGCGGGATCGTCGGGTCACTCGCTGTCTCTGCCGGCTCCTTTCGCCTCCACGTGGGTGGGCTATCGACGGTCCATTCACGAGGTACTTGTAGATTCTTCTCCGCATTTCGGAGCGTTGTCCTTGCTGGTATGAGGCTCCTTCCACGCAGATTGTTGAGGGAAAAAATGAGATCGGAACACGGGAAAATGAGAATATTGAGTTCTGTCTTTTTTTGCGCTCCTAATACGGTTGCGAGAAAAATGTGAAGACTTGCCCCTGAAAAACAAGCTGCAAAATATTGAAACTTTGGAACATTTGTGATATGACAATTTTTTCTCGGATAAATTTCCAACGAATCGGGATCATGCTGCATTTCTCTTATTTAAGCGTGGAACGCCGATTTCATCATAGCCAGATCCTAGTCCCTCACGACAGAAGCGAGTCGTGATGCTTTCGAAATTCAGGTTGACATGAACAAGAGGACGAGGACCCCAGTGAAAACCTATTCCTGGAATGTTGCGCTATTCTTGGCAAGTAGAGGAAGGGAACATAGGCGAAGCGTGGATGGAATTGGGGGGGGGGGGGGAAGGAGCGGGAACTCTAGGATATTGTTCTCTTGCATTTCATGCGTTTTTTTCCTGCTTACTTTTGGATCTTTTTTTTGGGAAAGTGGGGCCTCGCTTCTTCGACGCTACGCCGCTGGAAGGAGGAATTTGCACGCCAAGGTAGACGTTAGACGTTAGTCTGGACCAAAGTGGACAATTTGGAAATTAGTTTTCACTCTTCTGCGTAGATTGTGCAGCATTTTGATGATTCTCTATTGCAATAATCCAATTTTTATTTTCAACTGTGGTTGATGACAGCAGCGTCGCACGCCAGACCGAAGAAAACTAAGTCGAACGAGTTTTAACAGTTGCGGTGCGCATTGCAAATATTGAGCAGAACGATCATTTTCCTGAAAAAAGTACTTGTCATAGGAATACAAGCGTTGAAGCCCCGCAAACTTTAGTACTGGCTCCTCTTATAGGGCAATCGCCATCACGTTAATGTGCTCTCGTGTGATTCAATACTGTTTTGTTCATGTCACTTTAGTTGTCTGATCAAAGTAAGAATATGGATGGACACATGAGTCAAAAACGCTCAGTATGCTTCAGCTGATGAAGACTTATTCTTATTCTTATTGAATTGAAGATTCTTATTGAATATACCCAGGAAAGCGAGACATACGGGGCATGGAAAAAAAAGCAACTATCGCGAAACTTCACCGTGCGTAGATTGATATCAGAATTTTAACATTTCATCCAAATTTACTTTGCAAGTCAAGACCATGAGCAATTATTCAAAAGGAAACTGAAAACGCCCAGAGGGACTCGAACCTACCTTTTGAGTGCCAGGTCCTCCTCATGGGTACATACGAAAAGCGAATGAAAACCATCTGCAGGAAAAGGCCGGCCAGGAAAAAAATCTCAATGGGTGAGAGGTTTCACGTTGACTTGCAGAGCGCTCAGGCGTGTCCTCCGATCCACTACCGGCGTGAGCACTCCTTCATTTTTATTATTCAACTTCTTTTTAGTAATAGTCCATAGTCATGCTTCGGAGGATTGAATTTCAATTAGATTTCGAAGATATGTTGGAAATATCCATTCAGTGTGAAAGTTAAATGTATATATCTCTGTTGGGAAGGGATATATTTTTGTTTACATTTTTAAAAATATTTTTGCCATACCCTGTATAGTGGACTGGGGGGGGGGGGGACCAAAAAAAAAGCAGAAGATAGGTCTTCATCAATTAATGAAGTGCTGATGCTGCTGTTGCATTTCAAATTACGAATAATAAAGCAAGCTGCTCCATCACTGATCTCGTTACAATCGACGATGACCTGGCGAGAAGGTGCCAGTCGAGCAGAAGCGAAGAACAAGGACCACCTGCAGGAGTGGGGTTTTCCCAGCAGTGTAATTCTTCCCAATCTCAGGCAGGTCACGACCAGTCGACCGTGTGCATAACGATTGTCTCCACGAATCGGGATCGTTCCCGAAATTCTAGGCCATTGAAGACCTCAAATCTGACGGCATAGACTCATCTGTGTAGGCAATAATGGCGGTTCGACACGAGGCGACACAATTGGACACGATGCAACCTGTGCAGCCCATTCATTGCGAAAAAATGAAAATTATCTAGCATCATCGACGAAAGAGGACCTCTGGACAGACTCTAGTATAATTACAAACTGGTATGCAAAAATAATGCAGTAATATAGAAAGTATGCGGTTCAAAACTGGCTTCTTTGATAATAGAGTACCTTCCCTGAGAATAGCACAGTGTTATCGGATAGTACTCTAGAACACTACCCAAGTGATAATTTCCAATTTTGACCAAACTTTGATCATTGAAAGTATTCTCAAAACGAAATCAAATGGCACCAAAACATCCGGCAAAGAAACAGGTTTAGGTTCATGACTGGCTCTCTCAATCTTCCTCGCCGACCCAAGTCCCGATGACATATCCTCTTATTTCCTTATTCTCGTCGAGTTCCTTCCCCATCTCTCGAGCGATCACCGTTCTTTAGATCTGATCACAGACGATTATCGTAAAAATGGTGCGAATAAACCCGCAAAATGTGCTGATGATGCTCTAAAAGCTTACAGAGCGAGCAGAAATCCCGGGACGCTAATCTATTCGAATGAGATCGAGCTGAAGGCGGAGGATATTAGTCGGATGGTTACAGGTCATTACCAAACTTTATTTCACCACTTCTTTTGAAAGGACTTTCGGACACAGCTGATGTTTAGCTAAAAGAAAACATGGACCTAAACAGTATCTTTTTCATACCTGAAAAATGGCATCGCACGTAGATAGGGGGCGCTGCAGTCGACTGCAGCGCCCTCTAGGTATGCGTACTTGCGGTACGTAAAAGTAATATTGAATTCATGAACCTCTCTGCGAAATATCAGCTGCATCGGGTTGTCCCGTGAAAAGTTATGGCAAATCAAAACAGGGTGGTAAATTCATAGCAACCCTGTCTGTATAATATTGGAGCAGAGAAAAACCATTTATGCCAGATAATTACAATTGTGATATATATGATAGAGGAGGAGGAAGTGATTAGAGATAGACTTACCTTGAAGGTAATCCTTCAGCTCGATCTCATGCAAATAATTAGTATCCCGGGACTTCTGCTCGCTCTGTAAGCTTTTTGAGCATCTTCAGCACATTTTGCGGGTTTATTCGCACCATTTTTATGATAATCGCCTGTGATCAGATCTAAAGAACGATGATCGCTCGAGAGATGGGGAAGGAACTCGGCGAGAATAAGGAAATAAGAGGATATGTCATCGGGACTTGGGTCGGCGAGGAAGATTGAGAGAGCCAGTCATAAGCCTAAACCTGTTTCTTTGCCTTTTTTTTTTGGTGCCATTTGACATAGTTTTCAGAGTACTTTCAATGACCAAAGTTTGGTCAAAATCGGAAATTATCACTTGGGTTGTGTCCCTTGTCAGTTCAAAAGCCAACCTAAGGCAAGATCAAGGGATTTTCTTGCGAGGCGTTTATCTCCATAAAGAATAATTTGAATTGGAAGCAACCACCATAAAGGGTCGCGATCCGACTCAGTCATTTATTGCCATCATGGAGAAATCAACACAATCGCTAAAAAAAAATGAAAAATGCATTGCGCAGGGCACAGGAGGCAGCAGATCATGTGGAATACAATTGATGAACAAAGTTAAAAGTGTCTGTACAAGAAAGTCTCTTGCGTTTCGCTTCCTTTCACGTGAAAGAAGTTTTGGTAACTGCATCAATGAAAGCTCTTGTGGTATAAATGTCCTCTTTTCCTTCGAGGTGATGCTTCAAGTGAAGCAATCCAATTTCCAAGCAAGTCTTCATGACTAGAGGAGGGCGAGAAGAAAGGATCATCTGGATTCTCCTGTTAGTTCTAGCTTTAACGCTAAATACTGGGCCTGGTTAAACACATGCCATAGTGGTAAGTCGCACTGAAACCAGCGATCAGACCTGGGCATCGATACCCTCTGTTTCAATCGATATCACTGTCATTTTCTCACCAGTCTTTATCCATCTGATTTTTCCTCGACATTCACACGCAATGGCAATTTCATTTGTGGTAACTCTCGTTTTCGTATTCAGGTGATCTGGTAACGCGAATCGTGTTGGTTCCTCGGGAAGGTAAGCGTCTGCAGGGAGGCTGGCGGTGGGGATTCCATCCTATTCCTTGGAATTGGGGAAGAGGGCGAAAGGGTGGAAGGAGGTAGAGGAAGGAAAGGCGGAAAGGCCTGTTTGAGATCGGAGTCGAGCGCACAAGGAGGCATTCAGGACGCACGAGATGATGAGGATCAGCATCAGTATCACCAATCCTGTCGCGAAGCCTGGTGTGGACATGCAGATGTCTCCGT